GGAAAGAGCCAACTGTTTACTCCCACTATAAATCTAATAATCTGTCTGGCTAGATGGATTATTCCCCATGACCTAGATGCATTCCTGTGCACAGCGATCCCCAAGGAATAGAGCAGCTTTGCCGAAGTTTTTCCTTCCCCGACATTTTACGTTTAAAAATAACTAAGTTCACATACCTATTAGCACAAGGTAGTGTTCTCACCGCAGCCGACCCATGCAAATGAAGTTTTTGGCTCCCTCCTCCTCACCCCCTTTTCTGTGAAACAAGTTTTGATTAAGACCGCCTGAAGTACCACAGAAAAGCAAGCAGGGTCCCATCCTGGATATCAGGCTAAAGAAAAAAAACCTCAGGGTGCTCCACTGGCCGTTCGACATTAAAAAGTGGTATGTTCTACACTTGTGGTGAATTTATCTCCAAGTAAAAAAAGCAGTTTAGTTAATATCTGGATACTGTTAACTTACAAATAACTTAGCCTTTCTTTACTGGAGTAATGGCTAATGAGTTTGGATTTAGCAAACAAGTATCTGCACCAAGAAGCATGATTCAGCATTAAGTGCCTGCACAAAACAGCAGCATGTAATCTAGGTGCCCAAGCCAGCCTGTGCAATTAAGTCTCTTGGCAAGAGGTGCTTAGCCCTGAAAAGCTGCACAGCGTTGCCCAGGCCCTGAAGTGGCTGACAGCTCCTTTGACGGCAGGGAAGTGTCCTCGCCGAGGGGAACGAAGGATTTCAAACAGAAATCCACAAACCAAAGTCTCAGCTCCTGTAACAGTTCAAGTCCGCGATAAGGACCCGCGAATGTTTCTTCAAACGTTAGTTAAGGTGTTTGAATATCTAGAATGTAAGGTTATCATGGAACACAGTACTACTTAAAAGCACTCTGCTATTGGGAGAAAAACAAACAGATGAAAATTCAGGGATTCTAGGTAACAGACAGGGTGAAATTCAGATTGATTTCCCTCCCCCTCTGCCCAAAAGGTGCTGAGCTCTTCCAAATTATTTGGTTCCCAGGCAAATCTAAATCCTTAAGATCCGTACTGAATATCATGTCATCATCAAGCACGCAATTATTACACTCCTAGTTTTGCTTCACAAGTTAAGAAAAAGCAGAAGTTCCTTCAGAGTAGTTCTGCAGACATGCAACTCTGGATAGTGTCCAAAAAACCTCATCCATTATTGCTCCAGATACATATTCCCCTAGTTAGAGAAGTAGCGTCCATGACTAGCAGCTATTTACTTAAGAAACTTTATTGTCTTGCTGTATGCTGAGCAGAGCTGGAGAACAGACATTAGCTAGGAGGATGGAAAAAAACACAGGTCTCTCACCAGGAGGTCAGGCTCCTGTCATTTAACAGAGCGCTATCCCCAGCCCAATTACCTGCTAAAATACATTATGTTCTCCTGTCAGCGTTAAAAAAAAATTTTGTTCTTCCTTTAGCCCCTTGAATTCATGTAAGGAGTCCTTCGACTCAATCTGAAGCTAGCTGTGATTCACCCTCCCTCTCCTTCTATTGGAAGAGCTTTTTATTGCACCAACCCTTTTCAAATTAATCTGAGTAGCTGTTTTCATCTAAGTGTCCTAAATATAACCAAAGCCAGACAGAGAGAGCTTTGTCGCTCACACGAGAAATCTGAAAGAGGGCTGTAAACTGCAGTGTGTCTAAACTGGCCCATATAAAAACGTAACCAAGTAAAATAAATGTAAAGCTAAATACTCTTTTATGCATAGCAAGGCAGGATTTCACAGGCAGAAGATGCACAACAGGCATTTACTTTGCAGCGCCAGCAGCTGATCTGGTGCTCTTTGGGAAAGGACTGGATGCCTCACATACAGTTTATACAAACATGACACTTCTGTTCTCTTTCAGCAGATACTGGATGCCACGACCGCACTACAACATAGCATTGCCTCGGCTGATCTCGTTAAGATAGGCTTAAATATAGCTACAGACCAGGTTTGTAAAACATTATTTCCAACTGATGAAGATAGACTAGGCCTTCATTTTCTGCCTATTTACAATCATGTCTTGATTCATATGTCCAGAAAAAAATTACCTTGCTATTTTATTGTTCAACTATGAAGTTCACTCTTACTCAAGCGACAACAGGTCATGTTCTTTGCACTTAAGCAATTTATATTTAAGAATTAACTATCTATTCCAGATATTCAACTGCCAAACACAATGCTTCAGAAGCATTATAGTGCAATAACAAAGGCTCGATGTAAGATATGAAAATGCAATGAAAGCTTAGGGAAGCTATAAAAAGCTATGAAATACAACCCTCACCTTTACAGATATATGCTAAACACCAAACTGCAACAGTCACAGGACAGGAACGCGTTTTATGGAAAAGTAAAAAGGAAGTCAAAGGAAGATACTGACAACGTTAGAAACGGCACTGAGAACAGACTCCCACCTTCTTGTTCTTAACACCTTCGATTTCCATTGGCACCACAGAAATGTAAAAAGCCACCCTCTCAAATGAAGTCAGGTCACTTTATCAGATGTTGGAATTAAGAAGCTTCTTTCCTGACAACGAGCTCTTCAGGAAAGAGATAAAACAGTACATATCCTTGTACGATAGCTTCTAGCTACTATCAGACAGCAAAGCTAAGACTGAATGACCTTGAAACTGGAGTCAAATTTTAGAAGACACTTGGAGTTACGTCTGAGTCAGGTTGGCTTCTGAGGTGAACGGAAACATTACAGAGGAATCATAACGCTAAGAGTCAACATTGAAACAAAAGCACACAAGCATAGACAGCGATGTTCAATTAAAATCCTAACACCAGACTTCCAGCTTCTGTTTAATAAAAAAAAAATCCTATGCTTGAGAGTTTACACCATTAGCTTTATTAGCCAATATATAACAATATATAACTATATCACTATAACAATGATACATGGACGCCTAGTTACCTTTAGTAGTGAGTATGGCAGCATGACCTCCAGCTCCGCTATCCGGTGAGCAGGATCTTCGCTGTCCCCATGAATTTCTAAGTCCTCCTCTGGTATCGTGTCCCAGTGCCCTCGGTGGGCTGCCATCATATGGACCAGTTCATACTGCTCAGGCAGCGCTAGGCTAATCCGTGTTTGCGTCCCATGTGTGAAACGGATCCGTCGCCTCTTACAATTCTCCTCGTTGCTGATTTTGGTGGTAGGGAGCAGCTTCTCACCCAGCAGTATGTTGAGTAACTGGCATTTGGCATTACAGTTCTGGCCAAGAATCAGAAGGCAAGGGTGCCAGCTCACAGTCCGCTGGAGATGCTCTTCCTCATGGCGAGGGAAGGAAATGAAGTTCTGCCCTAAAATTGAGGAAAGACTGCGTTAGAACAGGTTGGCTGAACAATAAGTCTTGTATTTAAGTCAGCGGAACACAAAAGTTCAGACCGCTGCCCCACAGCCTGCCAAGAAACCCACACAGCACCAAGAATTTGCTTATGTATCTTGAAACTAGTGTCAGCAATTCAGCATTTCTACTGCACCAACAGAGGTCCACAGCAGGTTGATCCTCCCAAAGCCATTAAGACAATTTGTTACTGCTCTCCCCACCTATTTCACTGGAAAGTGTTTACACAGAGCTCTCTTCAGCAGGTTAGTGGAAGACTAATGGTAGGCCCTGAAAGTCAAGAGGAAATAGTTGTCAAGGTTGAAACAGCCCAAGGGCTAATTTTGCCTTGGGTTGGAACAGTGTTTTGCCTTGCTCCAGAGTTCAAGGAGGCCCAATGGGTCACTAAGGCTAACTATTCCCAAGTTTTGATGCCTTGGCGGTACAGAACATTCCTGTCGCATATCAGAAATAAATTCAATCAACTATGAATCGGTGACAGTTCCACCCACACACTTAAAAATGTCAAATACTTTGCATCTACCAAATCCCAAGAGTATTATTGCACAAGCTTGTTGACCAAAGCCTAGGATCATTGACGTTAAAGCAGCAAAACCTCCTTTCTAGCCTCAGGGAAAGGCATTCTTGCAAAATTGCTTCTCTACACGAAGCAGATGACAAGACCAAGTTTGCTTGAGACATGGTAGCAGAACTAAGAGCCTCTGCCAGCAAGTCCCTATGACAGAAATACAATCACAGCATCTAAAGAAACTGTCACGCTTTCACCAGCCTGGGTAGAGATGAGCCCAAGGGAAGGCACTCTTTGCGAGCAGCCAGACGATTCCTAGTGCAGTCTAAGAGACAATAAGAAACAGCTTCACTCCTTTGACCGTGCTAACAGTACACATCTTTCCTAACCTATACAGTTGAGCTAAATAGGCACAGTTTGCCAGATATCCTTATCAATTTTAAGAACAACATTTAAGCTGCAAAAGGAAATTACTCAACATCTGTATCTTCTTCAGAGTAGCAGGACTCCCTGTAATTACTCTCCTTACCCATCTTCCACCTGAAGCATCAGTTGTACCATCCCACTAACCCTGGTTTGAATTCTTAGTCCACGATGCTGCAACTCCTTGCATTTGCCTTACTACATTAATTCTCAGTCTCAGTACTGAATTTAGCTTCTGTATTCTTTTACAAGTCCTAAATACAGCTTTTCCCACGCTCAGTCATCTAAGCTGAAGTCTAAGAAGCTTTGCGTTACCTTATGCATAGCAACAGAAGAATTCTGGTAGTACAAAAACTAGATACAAACAAATTCCCCATCTGCTGCACTTCAGCACAAGCCCCGCGAGTACAAAACAGCTAGTGTTCCACCGCAGCCAGGGAGCTAGCCCGTGTTCCCAGCGCTGAAGGCAGATGGCACCCAAGAATGAAATAGCAAATGGAGACACCGGTCCCCAAAAGAACTGCCAAACCTGAAAGCTATAAGCCAGTATGATTGCCCCGATATCAGGCAAACTGACAAGAACAACCATTTAAAGATAGACTCAAACACAATACAGCAGAGAAGAACCAGCAGGGATTTTGTAGGGGAAGGTCCTGTTTCACCAGGGCTATTAAAATTCTTTTAATGAGTCATGTTCTGGCATCCAAAATTGTTTCAGCATCTCAAGTCCCAAGAAAACAAGATACTCTCCTATACCAAGATATTCCTCAACACTACTAACCAAATTAAACATAACATACAACAGCTATTCTAGTCCTCATTCCGATAGCATTCCATTACTCTATTTTAATTAAAATCATTCAAATGGGGAGCAACACCACATGTAGTTGGTTGTGTCTTAGACCCAGTTTAAGGCTTCTTTAATATCCTGCCTAAGATTTACCTTTCCTTCAAATCCACAGTCTGGAAATAGGACTGCTGGAGGAGTTCTCACCATCGGAGGCGGCCTTCCATCCCCCACAACACTACGGGGGAGCCCTCCCCATGCCTCAGCAAGCCCCTCTCCTGCACCTCTGGCCCACGCGGCCCCAGACACTGACCCCCAGAAACCAACAGTCTGGAAAACGTTATGGGAGATATCACTTCTTGAAGTATGACTCTTCGTAACTGTTTCTTAAACAAGCCTTTCAAGCTCCACAACCATAGCGAGTGGCCACATCAAGCGACTGAAGGGCAGAATCTGGCTAGCAGCTCACAAAAGATAAAAATCAGCAAAACCCCAGAAACAGCACATTTAAGCCTTCATCTACAAAATAAAGAATTTCTTTGATCTGGTTACACCTATTGAAACTTCAACTGAAATTCAGGCTCACTCTTCAGCTACCAAGCATGAAAAAAGCAATTCAGAAGGCATTGTACAGGCCGTGAAGCCTTCTCTGCACAGGCTTTTGGAAAGAAAAGAAGGGGCAGATTGCATCCTCTCCTCATTCTGGGCGGCCTCTGTATTTACGAGTACTTAATGCCAGCACAAATGATTGAAATACAGCAACTTAGCTGAAATTATTGAAGCATGGAACAGCTATATAAATACTACATCTTTAAAACACCTTTCCTCTTTTCATGCACACAACCTCCCTGTGATCAGCACTTATTCAACAAGTTTACTACAAGCGGTATCAGTAACGAAGCCATTACATTTAACATTATGTCACACGGTGATATTCTACATATGTCAAGTACAAACCCGGAACCAGCACCAAAAGCAAGATTCAGCCATATCACAACTAACCCAGCGCACCATCAAGGCGCCCAAGTCGTGGCAGTGGTTTCAACCCTGCGCATATCTGTCACGGGGTATCTTACGGTGACCTCGAGGTCTCAAACCTGAAGCAAATTGCACAGCGATGGAGCTATTGCTCGTATTCTGCATTGCAGAAAAAGTATTACTATTTCTGCACATCAGAATAAGACCCTGGGTAAGAACACTCATACAGCACTTCATAGGTGATGCCACTAATCTGAACATGAATTCAAGTCGGGAAGAATATGACCTCCTGTGGTACCTAACAAAAAGCAGATTTAGAACTTGCTTACTGAAGGGATGTAGCAATATTCTATGTGAGCAGCTCCTGTTCGTGAAAGTACTTTTGCCAAAGATTTTAGGGGGTGCTACATACTGTATCCATATACCATATCATTGGGAGACATGTGATAAATACTTAAAAAAAAAAATGGCTGCAGGGGGAGTCCTTAAGTGCGTGCATCCTATTAAGCTCCTTTTGATGAAAGGAGGCCTGTCCAAGAACAAGGACGTCTCTCACCAAGACTCATCTCAAAATTCAGTCAAACACTTGGCACAAGAATCTTAGGATGAATTTATGATATCTATAGAAGCCCTGAGCATTTACTCATCCCCTTTTCAAGGAAGGCCAACTAGACTGCCAGTCTCACTTGTCTTTCTCTTCCATTTTCAATAATACATGCAGACAACAGTGCCTAAATAAGGCCAGACCCTCATACTTCTTGCAAATACTGATGCCTTTCATAGAAATCCTTACATTTCTGTGGTGCTGGCGAGGACTTGCAGCGTGCTTTGACTACTATAAGACTTACGATTAACACACTCAGTTATACAAACCAAGTTTTAGTTCCACCCCACCACACATCTGTCAGCACGGTGGTGTTAATTCCAGGAGAACACATGCAACTATATACCAACATAAGCAGTTCCTACCGGCGCAGCTGTTATAACATCAGCAGCCCCCATGGTCTGCAGAGCCAAGCTTCGTCTTCTGCTTAACTTGAAGCTTGTTAGCAAGTGCCTCCTCCCATCTATTTGAGGAGTTATTTCACAAGTACCCTCCCCAACCACCTCTCCACACATTATCTAGTCTTAAACCCCATCTTATGTTGACATACCTAACAGCACAAGAGGAGTCCTAGCCTTTTGAGGATCACAGCAACACAGGCAGAGCAGTCACATTTTAACCAGGATACACACCCTTGGTCAATATAGCATTGAGACAAAAGCTCTTCCAAACTCCCTGGTTAATACATTCACCCCCTACGAAATCCACTTACATACGGAGTCATTAGGCTACCAAGCCCAGGGCTTTCCCCCAGCACACACTCATTAAGATAACACCACAGCTGCTGACCCAACTCTGGAGATGCTGTGGATGTCTGCACAAGAGCAGCTTGTGTCTTCTTGCACAAGAACAGCTCAGTTTACAGAAATTTCTGAAATAAGGCAAAAGAAATAGCAGAAAAAAATTAAGTTCCTAGGTCAAAGGGCTCAAGTTATTTCAAGCACAGAATGAAGAAAACTACAATTAATAGAAAGCAGGGTTGCTGGTTTTTTTTCTTAGTACCTTTACATATTTTAGTAAAATCTGCTACTGAGTCCCTAATTAAGATTTTCTTTTTACAGAAAGTCAGTACAAAACACACTAGCTAACAGCACCAAGAATAAAAAGCTGTCAGACCTGTGCAGGCTAAAGCTACAGGATTGTCACAGTGTCTGGTTTAACTCCAGCCAGCAACAGCCCCACCAGCCGCTTGCTGGGATGGGGGAGAGAATCAGAAGGGTAAAAGTGAGAAAACTTGTGGGTTGAGAGAAAGACAGGTTAATAGGGAACGCAAAAGCCATGCACGCCAGCAAAGCAAACCAAGGAATTCATTCACTGCTTCCCATGGGCAGGCAGGTGCTCAGCCATCGCCAGGAAAGCAGGGCTCCATTGCGTGTAACGGGGACTTGGGAAGACCAACGCCATCGCTCTGAACGTCCCCCCCCTTCCTTCTCCTTCCCCCGGCTTTCTATGCTGAGCGTGACGCCATACGGCATGGGATAGCCCTGTGGCCAGACGGGCTCGGCGGAACTGCAGCATCCCCGTGTCCTCAGCACCCTTTCCAGCACAAAGCCAAATCAGAGCCCCATGCTGGCTACTGTGAAGAAAATGACCTATCCCAGCCAACAGCAGCACACATAGCACTTTAACAGATCATTCTTAAAAGCCTATTCATGACAAAGCAGACCCAGAGAACAGACAATATTTTGTTGAATGCTTCAGAAATGCAGACAGTGCAAACCAGACTTTCTCCCTCCCCTCATAAACAGTAGCTGGAAGGCAATTATTTTTTCCCTTGAATTTATTTTACTTCTCTTACTATGAGGAGCAAGTCAGCCCTGGTACTAAGGCCACAGAGGGAACATTTGGACAATGACAATCCTTTATTGATGAATATTGCCTGTCATCCTCCTAAGCAGAGGAGCGTGGAATGTAAAAGTCAGTACACATTTGCCCCTTCAAGTACCCAGCCCTGACTGACCCAGCTTACCTGAAAGGTCAGTGGCTACTACTCAGCTTAGCAGATCCTTAGGTCTGGTTTTGGACAGGGTAACCCAGGCTGTGCTTTAGGTTGCTTGAGTTGTGTCGATTCGAAGGGCAGTTACCTTTCTGTGTTGTTACACTAGCTTCACAAGTGTCTCAAAAGCAAACCCCTTCACATTTGTTTTGTTTCCAAGACATCTAAATTTACTTTCAGGGTTTATTTTTCCACTTCAACCACAGGCAGTAAGCATTCTGTCCATTTCGCTTCCTAGTTCCTTTGTATTTCACAACACCTTCGCATTCACGCCTCAGCACACTGCAGAGCACTGCAAAAAGTCTGCAGAACACTTTGGTTAAAATTCCTCTCACTTTGACACCATCCGTAAGGCAGATTCCAGGAAAAAGTGGTTCTGAAGTCAGCAAGAACTGTGCTCCTTAAACCCTGTGACACTTAAAATAATCTCCCCACATTAGACAGGGGAAAAGCTTCATTACCAGCCACTAAGTTTCAGAGAGCACTGGAAATGTACAATACAACTAAAATTTTACAGAAACAAGAAGCTCTGTCCAAAGGTGATTATTCAGGCACAAAGGTAATAAGCAACACCAAGGCTCTGGGTTTCGGGCAAAGCCTTGTATCTTCCCATTGCTTAAAAAAATAATCATCATTGGTTCACAGTTATTTTGCAGTTGACTCATTTAAGAAAACTGCCAGCCTCCATTATTTTACTAAGTCCTGCTCTTCATCCTCTCCCCTTCCTCTTTCCACACTCCCCTCA